CCCTCCCCTCCTAATATAACTCCTCTCTCCAGTCACCTACTGTCATCTTCGCTATTTCCTTACCATGAAGCTTGCTTTTTACAGTACTTCAAGATACCTCATGCCCCATTTCAAAAAGTGGCACGAGTAATGTTTGTAATATATGAGAACTATACATATGCATTATTGGTGGGTTGCGTGTACCATTTTTAAAAGTCTCCTGGTTGAAAGATATATTTTTCCCTTTCAGCTGTGACAAGTATTCGAATTGCCTCCCTGGCAATTCGAAACAAATCAAAGCTTGCACCATTTTCGCTGGACCTGTCTGCGACGGGTGCGAGGATGGAAATTATTTTGATCCTCTAGTTGGAGGATGTGTTGAATGCAAGCCCCCGTGTAGCATCCTTCAAGAAGAAATAAGATCTTGCGCTACTGAACATAACCGAAGGTGCACGGCAAAAACAACGGTCACATCCCCTGGCTTGGGTAAGTTCATTCATTTACCTGAATAATGCATTAAACCGCACCATCCTTTCCACGGTCTGCCGGCCTCGTGACAACATACTTTTCTTTGATATTGCATGGTCCATGTCGCTGACTGATATATCAGTGGCCGATCTCATCTTCTGAAAACAACAAGTTAAACATGTAAAATAAAATAATGTTAATGGGAGGATGCCAGGAGTCACATTTCAAATTTAGCGCGCTTAACCACTCTACCACCCCTACCCTATTCCAAGGCCTATAGTCACCTATCCACTCACTGAGAGAAGCGTATTTGACAAGCGGGTTTGAGACCTACGTTTGAAACAGGAATATATTGCTATTACCATTACCTTGGTTCCAAGAGGTTTTTCTCTTTTCTGTTTCTCAATCAAATTTGATGCGTAAGTTGAAGAAAAAAGAAGAAAGACCTCTTGCAAAGTTAAAGAACAATATTTTTTTGATAATTTAGGTGATTCACCGACGAGTCCTGATACGGAGATCCCGCCCACTGGCCATGGTGGGAAGGTAGATCCAGAACCTCCAGCGTTGGCTGCCGAAGG